TGTTGGGTGATGAAAAAGTTGAAGTATTTAGGCCTTATCTTAGCATAATATGCATAGTAGTTAACTCCATAGGGTTGTTTCTTTATTTAGCAAATGGAAACTGCCTACTCCCTTCATTGGCACCATTCATCTAGCAGCATTCCACGCTGTTGTCTGTGATTCAGTGTTTTTTCCGTTGGCATACTTGCCAGAGATCTCCTCTTTATAGGGGAATATCCTACCTACTGCATTCACAGAAAAAGTCACCAAACTGGATAGACAAGTACCTCAGCCTGAACAACTCTAGGTACTCTGCCAATTCTCAGCTGGATTGAATTAACTGGTAACTCTGGGGAAGTTACATAAAATCGTACAAAAAAGATGAGTGAAACTTATTTTGAAATTGAAACATTTTCAATACAAGTTTGGAAAGATCGAATGTAAAAGAATTGGCCATTTCTAGGGAATGGATTCCTTAAGATCAGAGAACCCTGTCTTACTCCTCCTGATTTCACCACTGCCAAGTAAAGTGCGTGAAACTACACACACACACACACACACACACACACACACATACATACACGCACATGTACATACACACTGCTGTGTCATGCTGTTCAGCAAATTATCAACATATAACACACATTGCATGGTGATGAGTTTCGGAGTAGTAATTCATTAGTTTAGGGGAACTGGGTGTTATGAGGTGTTTGTCATCTGGATAGCCTCTCTTTAGGCCCATATCTCGGCCTGTATTCCTCCTGTCTAAAGCTTCCCCTTACTCTGAGGGCGGGCAGGTATTCGGTTCTCATCCTGTTACCACACTTCTCCCTGTATTGCCTTGTATATATGTCTCTTTCCCAAGCTACCTGTAATAACCAAACCAAACCAAACAAGAAAGCAATACCAAATCTGAAGATAGGGACTGACCCTTGTCTATCAGTATTCAAGCTCCTAACACTGTGCTGGGTACACAGAAGGCATTCAATAATTCACTAAATGAACAAGAGAAATAACATGTCCATTTGCTGTATTTTATAATTATTGCATACAGAAAAGCCAAAACCTTTCTCTACTTGTTCAGATTCCCATTGCCAAAACTGACACATCTAGCCATGACTAGACTATCTAAATTGAATGCTGTAAAATCAGTACTAAAAATGGAAAACCAGAAGAGAAAGTGTCTCATCGATTCCCACATGAGCATTTGTCAGTTGGGTATTGAAGGCAGCGAAAGTGCTAACTGTTCTATACTGGTGTCGAAGTTTGTCAAATAAAGAGAACTAGAAAAGTTAAGGTGAAAGATCTCCCCCAGACCTCTTTGCCAGGGCTGCCCAAGGAAATCCAGGAGATTTGGAAATGCTTAATCTCAAGAATATTAATACCCTTTTATCTCTATTAGGTTGAAATACACAGGTGAAATACATAGTTCTCTGGGGATATATGTGATATTGGGCAAGATATGATCTAACAGCAATGCTCATTCACTAGGGCTCTAAGGTGACATCTGAGGTTTTAAATAGAAAGTGTCAACATACTGCACAATGGAAAATCTATTTTCAGTTCGGATTCCAAGCAGAAAGCAATTCTTCCCATCAAAAGGTGTTCAAGATGCTCCTCCCATGGCTAGGATACAGATACATGCTGGTTTGGCTAGAAAGGACACACTGATGCCCTCCAATTCCCCAAAACAACAACAAGCTGCTCACAGAGAGGACTCAGGCTAGAGATTCAGGAGTCTACCACCCCACACAGTCTTTCTCAAAGATTAGTGGTAAGGCAGGCAGACAACACAGGAAGGCCTCCATGGAAAGTGGCCACTAGATCTGTTACCTGAAGGCTGTACTTGAGCTGGTAAGACAGACTAGCAACAAAGACTCTGGTAAGGACGGCAAGAGAGTAGACAGGCAAAAACAGACAGCACATAGCAAGACAATTTGGGGCAAAGAAGAGGGTCCCATGTCACGGAAGAAATTCAAACTATTTCCTAGACCCCCCTGAATAGGGTTTTATTAGTTCCTTGGAGAAAGTGATCTGGAGATTAATATGAGAAATCTTGGCATATTGGTTAGAATTTATTGCACACATAACATGCAAATACGTGAATAGATATGCATAGATGTACATATATCTATATTATAATGAGCTGTATACAATACTCTTTATAGAGTGGGAGTTTATAAATCTTAACAGATAGGTTGTTGCCTTCATAATATTCCAAGTTTAAAATCTTACTTATGTATCATGTCTGCCTATTTTCTATTATCTACCATCAATCTATCTATTAATCAATCATCTATCTATGTATCTTTAAACCAAAGACAAATCTATCTGTTTCAAAATGAATATATTTTTGCTTGTTTTTCTGAAGTTCCTAAATGAAAACTACCAAATTATTCAAAAGTTTGGTGTTTCGTCATTGTTCTTACTGAGTTCTTTCTTAAATTTCTAACATTTACAGAAGTTTATGCCTCTGAATACTTGTTCCTCAAGTTTTCCCACTCCCTCAAGAAATAATTCCCTCCTTCCTCCTCTCAAACAATCCATTTCCAACTTTTCTCCTTAGCTCTTCTAGCTGATCTAGATCTTTCTGTTCTTTGAGGATCTTTCCTCTACTCCTCACCGGGTATCCATCTCCTTGTGTGTAAGGTTTTAATCTCCTTAGGTGGCAAATTGTTTGACAGCAGTGACTTATTTTATATCCCCCAAAGCTTTTAGCACAGTCATGGGCCAATAGTAAATGTTCCACATGGATTTGCCTTCTTGTGTTATCTACCTGCCTTACCACTAATCTTTGAGAAAGGCTGTGTGGGGCGGTAGACTCCTGACTCCCTAGCCTGAGTCCTCTGTTGAGGACTTACCTGAAAAAAACCCTCACGCCAAGTATGTGAACTGGAGACAGGCCATAAATACAGAAGCTTGGGTTTGGTGCTCATATACCACCTTTCACATCCTGAGGTGTCCATTCTGAAAGCTTACACCAGAGAGATGCCAAGGGTGACTCATTAATCCCGAATATCAGAAAGTCTCCCCTACTGTCACTTGTCCTAACCTGAAGTTTCTTCATTTCTGAACCCTGTTTCATAAAAAGAGGCCCTGAAATGTATTCTTGAGATAAGCCTGTCATCTTTCTTTAGAGACTTTCGTAAGGTTAAAATAATCAGGACATACCAGAGCCTTACCTTGGTTAAGGGCAGGGGGAGGAGCTGGATTTTATTTGGAACAGCTCCTCATTAGAATAAATGTTTACTGAAGTGACTAAGCAGAGGGAGTTCCATCTAAAACTTGGAGAGCAGCCAGAAAAGGAAGCAGCCAGAGAAGCAGAGAGGAAAAGGTGCAGCTTTCCTGTTTTTGGTGTGGGTCCTGTGCATCTGCGTTTCAGATCTGACACAAGTACAGAAGCTGCAGGTGCAGCACATCACCCTCCTTCTGGAGTCAGGTTATTTCTTTCTCGCTCTGCATCACCACACCTGATACAGAGCCACAGACATGTGCTTGTATTGAAGCACCATTTCTGTGTGATTCTGGGGGTCTTTTCCTCAGAGACAGTTTAGTGATCAAGGTACAATAAGGCCCAATTAAAATGTGACAGCTCAGTGAGAAATATTGCTGCAAATGGTGCAGTTCTAAGGGAAGGGGGCTGGGTTACAAAACAGTATTCTTTCCACTGTTACCCAGCCATCAGTGGTGCGCCAGACCACTCGCTCGGCTATCCTCATCTTGCTGCTTCATAAATGAGGATGTTAGATCACATTTTGTTCTAATTTTTAAAATCTTTAATTTTCCGTTAGATTAACAAAACTGTCTTCAAAAGGCTTTCATCTTACCACCATTTATGTAAATAAACTTTAGCTGAATTACACGCTGGGGTAAATAAAAAAAGTAACCATTCTTTTCTGGGGTTTTATCATTGATTCAGTCTTCACAACATCTCTAAGAAAGGTGGAGAAGAGATAAATACTCATGGAACACCTCTTCTGAGCCAAGACTTGGACATTTACTTCATTATCCAAAAAGCTTTATGAAGTGGTAATGTTCTCTGTTTTACAATTAAGGGAACTAAGAAGTCATGTGCTAAGCTAAAGGCCACTGAGTGGGTAAGGGCTCAGGCAAGAGTAAGGGCTGGGCGGCTCCAGGCTCCCTCTTAAGTCTGAATTCAAAGTCCGTGTTCTTTCTATCATATGATTCTAGATTTCTGTTAAAAAGGTAGGAATCCCAATTAACAGATGAGATGGTAAGACTGAGCTACAGAGAGCCAGGGGACTTTTCTCAATTTTGTAGTAAATCAGCATTTTGGGTGCTAGGGAGAAAATCCAAGTTATTTTTGGTACAGAGTGCAAGTTCAGACCAGAGAGCAGGGTGTGAGAAAAGACCCTTTGTATGACAATTTTATTTATATTTGATGCCAGCATTCAGTGATCAGGGTTTTAAAACAGTGAGGTATGAGAGAAATGAGCTTGTTGTAGTTATGTATATTTCACATCAAATTCTAGTATAACCTTGGTGTTTGCTAGAGACTATCTCAGAAGGAACATATTTTATATCCTAGAAATGAACCTATTTTTTCCAAACCATGCATCCTAGCCTTCCTAGCTCCTCACCCCACTTCCTCACAATATTATAATATTTGAAGTACGAAAGGGATAATCATGGAATTTATTTCTTCTTACAAAAAGTAGTTTTCTTATCTGGAAGTAATTTTTAATGCTGCACAGCACTGTACTTCCTCTTGCTTCGGGAAAGAATTTCTTTCTGAACTTCCCTCGTGTTGGTTTTTTTTCCTTCTCTTTATTTGTGTTGGCGTCTATAAAGCCTTCCATTCCGTTGAGTGAATGCATTGGCCTGGTACCAAATGAGACTCAGCACTTAGCCTAGAAGTATCGTTTTCCAACAGACAGAATCAGAAGGGAAACCCCGCCTCTTACACCCACTACTAATTACCATACGACAAAATCAAGTAGTTGCATCACTTACCCATCACTTGTGAATTTCTGCTTCTACGGCTCTCATTTCTGCACAGAATGAGTTTGAGACACATGGAGAACATGCCTTTTCACCATGCAAGCCCTCCAGGAGCACAGAGGCAATGCTGGAAGCCATGGATCTTCTCAGCATTAGTTCTTGTGCTGCTGGTCTGTTCCTTCAGCACAGTAGCCTTCACTCTTTTCCCACTCAAGGTAAGGAGACAACAGTACCCTAGGTTGCTATTGGTTATAATCCTTTTGTCTTTTGTAAGTCTGGTTATTGTTACTGTCACTCAGTATTGTTAGAGCTAGCTGAAAGGGACATGGGAGTAGAGATAATATAAATATAATTTCAGCTTTGTCATAGCATATGGCTTTGGAGGCTTATCTAAGTGTTTTGAAATGAAAGGTATCAGGAAATGTTAAATGTTAGCTGCAGAACTGAGTTAGATGGAGTAAATCGCTTAATTAAATCAGTCATTTCACAGATGCCTGTGGAGTGTTTTTTCCCTTTTTGGAACTTTGCTAAATATATCCTCTTGGTGGAATGAAAAAGTGTAAAACATGATGCTTGCTCTCAAGGGTGCAAGCTATAGTATAATTGAGGGAAGAGATGAAAAGATGATGGAATACAGAATAAGGTAAGTGACAGGTGGTTAGTGTATCTTCAAGGATGGAACTGGAGCTGAACTAGGAGTAAGAAGGTCTGGATTCTGGTTCTAGGTCTCCCAATGACTGGCTGTACGAATTTGAGAGAGACATTCCATCTTTCTGGTTCTCAGTTTCTTCATCTGAAAAATGGTGGTAGGAGAATGGATTTATTTATCATAATGTCCCTTCTGGCTATAAAATACAGTGATTTATAAGTCATTGAAGGGTGGTATAGAATGTAAAACTGCTTTAGAAGTTCAAGGGCAGCAATGACTTTGGGTTTGGGTGATCAAGAAAGGCTTCATGGAGGAAGGGTGAAGCACATTCCTATTTGGGAAGCCCCTGATGCTTATCAGGAATTTCCCACTGAGCTCCAGTCCAAGCTGTGGGTCTACAGAAGGGAATGGAGATTCTTTAGGTTCTTATTAGAAGTTTTTCTGACTGTCGACTGCATAGAACTGACCAAAAAGAAATTTAAAAATGCGTTGTGTCATTTAAGATTTAGCCCATTTTGGGGGATGTTTGAAGGTCCTGAGCCTTGGGGAGACTAAGGTGACACATGTCCATTTCTGGAAAGACTGAGCTCAGGGACTTCAGAAACATTTTTCCAAGGGAATTAGCCAGTTAAGATTTCAAAGATACAGTTCTACCACTTAAGATATTTGAAGGCAATGGAGACAATAGCGTGGTGAAGGCCTGGGGATGGGGTGGGGATTGAAGGGATCAATGGGGGCAAAAAAGGGAACATCTGTAATACTTTCAATAATAAAGATGAATTAAAAGAATGGAACCCTCCCAAAACAGATATTTGAAAGCAATGGAGAAAGAATGTAGGAGCAAGTAATACACTGTAGTTGCTGTTATTTAGTTGGGGCAAGTGTAGTTTTCCCCAAATGTGTACACAGTAGCCCATTAATTTGTATTGCAGAAGTATACACAAGTATACAGAGGCATTTCTAACCACATCTCCACTCTCTTGGGAAAGTTATCAAACAGAAGTCTGAATTTTCTGGAGTAGTGAAGCTTTGGGCAAAAAGAAAAGAACTGTCAGGAGTTCTGAGTGTTTAGATTTCTGAAGAAGGGGAACGATGTGAGTAGCAATTGCTTAAATCTGGAAGTGCTTTTTCCTTCCCAAAACCACTAAAAAGCAAGTCTCATTAGCCAGATAACCTTGAAGAAATAGGATGTTATGTGTCATCTGTTTCTGCACATGAATAAGGACCCAAAGCATAGAAGAGGAGGAAAATGCCTTTCTCAAAGGTATATGCAGGGTCTTGCAAAGGGACAGAGCAGGCCTAGTAATTCCAGGGGCATGGGGGACACCTCTTAGCAGAACTGAACCTGACCAGTCTCATATGCTAGAGCTCTGGTTCTGGACTCTCTCTCCCAGGCACCAGACAGCTTCCCAATGAAAGGTTCTTCCCTTAGAGAAATAGTCCAGAGTTTGTTCCAAATTTGGAGATGGTTAACAGGTTTTCAGAAAGTTGTTCTGAAAGGATGCCATGGACTGTGTTTCCTATGGGGAAAGCCAAGGCCCTGGTGGCCAACTCCAGCTCTTGTGTCCCACTTTTTATTGACTGCACCACCCCTTCCTTTTTGACCACAAATAAGTATACTCGGAAAAGAGGCCTGAGTAGCTGGCAGATGAGTCATTATGACGGGGCTGCTTCCACCGTCTCACAAGACCCATGAACCTTGGGGTTTAGATTATTTTAATCTGCACTCTTGTTTTTATATACAACATCCCACTTTCCAGCTTCTCTAGGCACTAACCCACCCAGCTTTAGACAGGAAGATTGGCTCCTTCTATACCAACAGAAATTGCTTTGGGAGAACATTATTTTCTTTTACCCATCCTTCTTTCAAGAGACAGTCAATTGAAAAGGATTGGTGATAAGCTCAAGCAATTTGGTCCACTCTTCAGTGAATATAATGTCACAGAAGTTGTTCCTAAGAAACCAAATGCTCAGGAGGGTCCCCTGCCTCAATAAAGTGAAAGATACTTCTGAAGGGGGAAGTTATGCTTCTACTTAAAAGTAGGGTGGACTCTGTTTCCAAAGGGTGATCTGATAAGGGCTGGTTTAGAGAATTATTAAGCTTTGGCCGTTTGAACCCAACTATGTGAACCTTGGTTTAAATCAAATGGGGTTAGAAGAGCAACTGATACTCTTCAGCAAAAATTAACCAAGTTCAACCAAGCTGAAAGCCCCTTCTGCTTCTTTAGGAGTGGATATTTGCTTCTTCCAGATATTACCAGAATTATAAATAGAAACTGCCTTACGGAATGGTAGGGGTGAGATCAATAAGTCAGACAGGCTATTTGGATCTCAGCCTGGCCTCTTATCAGCTGCATGACCTTGGGCTAATTAGTTAATCTCTCCCATGCATTCCACATCTGCAGATGGGCATTGCGGTAAAGATTAATGAGACAGTTCAGTGCCTGACCCATAAGTAGCCTCTCAGTTGATTGTAGTGATTAATATTTGCAACCATTATTATTGACAGTACAATGAAGATAAATTTCAAAAGACTTCAACAATTTGCATATTCCTTGCTTATCTAATTCACTTCATTCACCAAAGACTATCCATCACTGTCAAATAGATGATTTTTCTGATTGGACAGATTTTCATTGGTGGCAGTAATTAGAGAATGTCACAGTGGTGGTTTCTGGAGTTTATATAAACATTACAGCAGCCCACAAGACAGTATCCAGGATTTCTGTCTCTGGCAATTAGTCTGCTACCTTAAGTTTCTCCACAATCTTTAAACATGAAAGTGCAGAGCACAGATACTATCTGTGGCTCATACGTTGGCATCCTTCTATATTTAGATTGTTACCCAATTGCTCCACGTGTGCAATCTTGTCTTTCTAGAAAGATTATAAACTTCTTAAGAATCAAGGACCATAAATCACTTTTGTTTCTCCTGCTTATAATGTAAGTATGATGTTGGGAATATAGATGCTTAAAGTTTTATTCAATTCTTCATTAAAATCAGCATCATTATCAATATAGTTAATATTTAATGAGACTATCTGGGCAAAGCCCTTCACTAGCATAACCTCACTTAAATCATGGCCAAGTTCAATGAGCTAGGTGCTATATTTCTCATTTTATAAATGAGGAAATGAAGCAAAGGGACTCCCTCTCACATGCTTATCATGAGTTAAACGAAATGGAATTTCAACATCTCTTCTAAGAAACCCTACGACGAAGATGAAATAACTGCAGAAGCAAAAACAATCAGAGAGGCCTAGTGACTTATCCTAAAATACGGGCTTTCAAACATTTTGATTGCACCCCCTATTGAAATAAAAATGCCTTTAATTTTTATGTCACTCTCAAAATATATGCTAAAGTAGCTACTATACATTATATACAAGTACCAATACTATGCATATTTAAAAAATACACAAAATAGAAATGTATAAGGGTGCACCAGGTGATATGCTTAATGTAGTTTATGCACAGCACAAAACCATTTTGCTTTGACCAAAATATATTTTATAGAATATGTTTATAACGAACACTTCTAAAATAACTGAACTAATATTTTAGTAATTTGTTTAGTATGTTACTTTTATTTTCTTATCTTAGCTTAACACTTTGTGATACAATAATTTGAAGGTTATATTCTAAGTTGTGTATTGTGACTCACGGTTTTGACTACCATAGCTAAAAAAATGACCTCACAAAGAAATGTAGGTCAGAATGGAAAAATGCATCCTTGAGTGTGCTTACCATGTTATGACACTGAATTTTTTAAAACAAATCCTTACTCAAGGATATGTTTTTATTGATTTTGAGAGAGAGAGAAATATCAATGTCAGAGAGAAACATGGATTGGTTACCTCCTGTCTGCCCCCGCACCGGGGATCAAACCAGCAACCTAGGTATGTGCCCTGCCTGAGAACTGAACCCTCAACCCTTTGGTGTATGGGATGATGCTCCAACCAACAGAGCCATCCTGCCAGGGCTGACACTAAATTTTTAAGCCCTCATTCAGTGGTGCAAAGTTTTTATGTTCTTAAAATTTTAAATAAAGTTGGCCCTCATTCCATTCATGCCTTTCCTTCCTTCCTCACACAACTTAAATTCCATGGTTTACAATGGTAACCCTAATTTTGCATTAACCAACTCACTGTTTCTCTCTCTCTCTTCGTTATATTCTAATATTGAAACCAGAATCCTGAAAAATTGTCAACACTGATTAAGTCCAGCTGTTGTGAGTCCTTCACAGTTGAATACAGCCAAGGACAAAGATTTTGTTGAAAGGTCTTAATTTAAATTTATGGCCACTAACTTCAAGTGGGACTTCATTGTTGCTCAGTAAAAACCTACAGTCTCTACAGTTCATTATGTCTCCTCTACTGAACTATTTTATTCCTTCGACTTCTCTTTAAACATTCAATGTCTTTCCCCCATTCTCTCATGTGATATCCTTGTCTCCAGGTTCTGTGAGACAATAGAGGAGACAGGAAAGAATTCCTGAGCTCCCATTGTATTGACCACTCACCTGCAATTTTGTCCATGTATACTGTGCTTTCCTCTTGTCACTATGTATGAATTGTTCATGCACCTATTTTAGGCCACCTGTGAACTAGATTCTGTCTTCTCTTACCTACTCAAGGACATAGCTCCAACAATGGTCTCCTAGCTGTTTCATATTACCCCCTCCACTTTCCTGAAACTGTTCCATCAAATGGCAACAGATAACCATGTTGTCATTTCTCGCATATTCAAACAAACAAAACCAGAAACAAACAAACATCTTTGACCTCTCAGACCCATTCAGAATCCATTCAATTTTTCTCTTCTCCCTTACAGTAAAATTCCTCCAATTTCTTTTTTTTCTCCTCTACTCTTAAATTCATTGCAATTAAGCTTCTGTTCTCATCACATCACAGGGCCTACTTTTGTCAAGGACCCCAATGACTACCAAGTGCACCAGTCAATTCTCTGTCATCTTCTTTCTTGATTCACCAACAGCATTTGATACAGCTGATCACTCCTCTTCCCTGAAACACTTTCTCCTCTTGGTTTCCAAATATTGCACTCTCTATGATTCCTTTCTGACTTGATCTTGTACAGTCTCCTGTCTTAACGCATCACATAGTAGCTTAAGACTCCAAATTCATATCATCAGAACTCCTTAACTTCCATCCTCATAGATCCAACTGCCTACTTGACTCTCCAGTGACTCATGCCCCAAATCTTGGAGCCTTCTTGGACTCTTCTCATTTTCTCATCCCGTATCCATGTCAGGACTCCTGTTGGATCTATTTCCGAACATTTATCACCATGTCCACTGCTAGAACCTTGGTCGGAGGCACCGTGCTTTCTTGCCCAGATAGATGACTACAAGGATCTCTTAGCTAGCCTCACCGCTCTTGCCCTTGCCTTCCTTAACTTATTCGTAGCAGAGCAGAGAAATCTTATAAAGAAAAATGTGCAACATCTTGAAGTTCAAAAAGCCTCTTAAGCACTTTGCCACGAGGAAATCAATAAACTTCACATAGTACAATCCCATGGTTTACAATGATAACCCTAATCTTGCATTAACCAACTCACTGTTTCTCTCTCTCTTCATTATATTCTAATGTTGAAACCTCAGTCCTGGAAAATTGTCAACACTGATTAAATCCAACTTCTCTAAATCTTTCACAGTTGAATACAGCTAAGGACAAAGATTTTGTTGAAAAGTCTTAATTTAAATTTATGGCCACTAACCTCAAGTACACATAGTATAATTTTTTTGTTATACTTTTATCTTACTGCAAGTATTTAAAGCCTTTAATATATAAGTTGTGGTATGCTGCAACAGTCTGAAACTGAAGTCTCCTCGGGGTTTTCAGGAACTATATATGACACTTAACTGTCTGAATATTAAATAAGGGCGACTTTATCAACCTGAGTTGTAAGTATTTCTATAGTTTAACTTTTTATTATTTAAAATAAACATAAACATAAATTCTATTACTTTATTCTCACAGGCCACGGGATCACCTTGTGCAAGCACTGGAGTGTATTGTTTACAGAAAATTTCTGTAGCTCAAGAGGATTAGAGTCCAAGATCAAATAGTTGTCCTGTGGGTAGAGGTTAGGTGGATGGGAAGAGATCTTAACTTTCGCCAGGAAGGCTCAAAAGGGGAGCTAGGGAATGAGAGGTAAAGGGTGAAGGCAGCTACCTGTAAAGGGAAGCTGAGCAAGCCCAGGCAAAGTGGAGGAGGATTTTCTTTTTACATGGCTAGCAAAATAAGTTTGCTTCTGGAATAGGAAGCTCTAAATAAACCAATTAAGGAAGCAGTGACATTACCATCATCCTGACAGATTTCTCTTTATCTTCCCCTGCAGGCTGTCAGTGAGCCCTGTGTGGCTAAGTTTGGTGAGTAACCTGTCTTGCATGCCTCCTTTTTACTTTTCTATTTGTATTTGATGCAAGAAGGCAAGTTCCAATAATGTCAAGGGAGCCTTTATTCTATTTTATTCATTCTTCAGCTACTATTTATAACTGCTTATCAAGTGCCAATCAGTTGTCTAGGTCAACCAGATAGACCAGCGCATGCCCTGATGAAGCTTACATCAAGGTCGTATCTCTCGGTGGGAACACACATCATTCTTACAGGCCTGGGAATCTGAGATCCAGTAACCCACTTTTAATAAACATGCAGTTCAGATTTCTGCAGTTTTTCTCTCTGACAAACTCAAAGTCCTTCTCACATTTTACATATGGCTGGTGTCCAACAGAGTGTTTGTGTGGGGTGCTATTTTTGTTTCTAAATGTATAGAAGGGGAATGAGAATTGGGGGGAGTGGCCACTTCCTCTGCTTCTTTCTCCTCTCCTCTTAGCTCCTGAGTCACTTTCCCTTATAGTGACCTGGTATTTGCTTAGAAAACACACTGAAGTATACAGCTACACTGAACCTTAGACTGTTTCTTAGAATACATACAAAAATGAAAATGAATACATTTGGGGTTGTTCATAGGTTTTAGGCCAAAACCCACATCTTCGGCTGAGAGAGAGCATTTCTAGAGAGAGATGTAACCCCTGTTTCCTATACAGCTCAAACAGCCAGGCTTCCTGGGCTTGTGAGAATTAGGGAAACCCTTTTCACTTGTCTCTGTCTTTGTGATTTATTTTTGCTTTTCTGGTGAATGGCATGGAAATCATGATATGTTTGAAATTCCCTTTTGATGTGGTAAAAGTTGAGGACCTCAAGTGGTTCTAAGGTGGTCTTTAAGTGACCCCTACCACAGAATTAAATAAGAGAACCGGTGATGCTTCTTCCTGGGACTTGCTTGCCCACTGTTGCCTAATACATGTCAAACAAGAGGCTCTGGGATTGCCCGCACAGGGCAAGACTTCGCTTCTTGTTCTAATGATCTTTCCTTCATGATCCTTCAGCATCTATGCTTAGAGGCTTATATCAGTCATTTACATATAAATAAGACTCTAAGTCAATGTGTTATTTCTTCCGGGGTATTTTCTTATCAAGGGTTCTTTCTAATTATGGGATAAAGGCTTTGTCCCCATAACAAAAATTATGGAGAAGTAGAGAACAGGCCAGATAAGTAGTTTTAGTGGTAAAAGCACTTCCTGGGTCTCTGAAATCACATCTCGTGTACAAACAATTAACATTAGGAAAATATGTAAATTCCATACATACCTATGAAAATAAATGATTAAGTCTTGACCCTTTCCCCATCTCCTGTGACAGCATTAAGCTAGGGATACTTATACTTAAATAGTCAAATAATTTCTATTTTTAAACTCACGAATTTACTAGTAGCTTTTATGGAGGGTTTGGCTAATCATATCCCAAGGGATTCCTGAGTGATATGTACCCTAATGAGAAGAGCCATAATTTGGACACAATGCGCCTAATTCAGGCACAAATGTATCACTCAACTGAGAAACAGTTATTGAGCACATACTAGGTACAGGAACTCTAGGTGCTGCAGATATAGCAATGAACAAAACAGACAAGTACTTGTCCTCAAAAATGTTATAGTGAACTGAAGAACAGATAGATAATAAATGGGCAACTTAATTTATGCAATGATGGTGACACCTTCTATGGAGAAAACTAAAGCAGGGTAAAGGGAGTAAAGGGGGAGCACTATTTTATATCGGTTTATGAGTGACACGTAGTAAACAGTACTTCCACAGAAAAGCATGAACATGTTTCCTGGACCACCAACCCTGGTTATCACAGTGATTCCTCTCTCCCTCCCTTCTTTCTTTCTTTCCTTCCACAAATAGCCACGAGAGATACAATGCTACCTAAAACTTAACCCCCTTTTTCTATTCCAAATCCATTTCCTTAGAGATCCCCAAGCCAGAGATACACTTAGGATTTGCAATTTCGCTAAAATAAGGAGTAAATAGATACTTAATATAATCAAATTGTGCTTGGAGATGACCAGTGTAGACCAGGTAAAGAAACAACCTATAAGGGAAAAAGAACTATAACCAGGAAGACATGGAATAATTAAATAACTATGGCTTTCCATTCCCCCCCTCCCTTGTGAATTTGTTACAGGACCATCACCATCAAAATGGCAAATGTCATCTCCTGAGCTTCCTTGCGTGAGCCAGATAGCTGACTGGGAGCTGAAGATACTTCGGGATGGCTTGTATTCCATTTATGGCCAAGTGGCTCCCAATACAACCTACGAGGAAAAAGCTCCGTTTGAGGTGCGGCTGCGTAAAAACAAAGACGTCATACAAGCTCTAACAAACAACGCGATAATCCAAAATGTAGGAGGGACTTACGAGTTGCACGCTGGAGATATAATAGACTTGATCTTCAATGCCAAACATCAGGTTCTAAAGAATAATACGTACTGGGGGATCTTATTGTTGGCCAATCCCCAGTTCATCTCCTAGCATCTCGATTCGGCCTCCCATCCTCTTCAGCACATGCAGAGATCTGGTGAGTGGGTTGGAGGAGGCAGATTCTCAATGCCTGAAGTCTGGGTACACAAATCAATGCAACAAACAGAACTCCTCCACAGGCGATTTTCATCTCTCAAGCTTATCTGAGAGACTCAGACAAAGGGCCAAGGACATTTGGATACCCCTGGCATTGGCTTGGCAAGGACACTACTAACCCATGGCAAAACGAATATGGGTGGCTAAAGAGCAGAAGCTTCTCAAAGAGTCTCTGTCTACTTTTCGAATCCCGGGGTGGAAAAATGAGGTCCTTCTCCTGGGAGGTATGCTAAAAGGATCCAGCACAGTAGCCTGGCCTTGTTCTCCCATTCTTGGGCTGTTTCACTTTATTCTTCCCATACTCCCATCTTCTGAGACCCTCCTAATAAAAAGTAGTCAGTCTGGTAGGGTGGCCACAGATATCTAACAACACCCCACTTTAGATGTGATGATACTAGAGGATAGAGAATACTCTAGAGATATATTGGGGTAGGGACACAGGTGGCATGTAATGGAATGCACTTTATTTGGGAATTTCCCTTCATTTCGTTCATCATACTCAGGATGCAGGGTGCTTTGTAAAGCCAGTACGTTGAAGGGGTCATTCTGAACCTTCACATAGGGCTTCACGGGAACTCATTTGTGTGTGAGTCTAACATTGTCAATGGTAAAGATAGAGCAAGCATCAGTAATCACAAGACCTCACCCAGAAACTGTTACTACCAGTGCTGGACATGGAATGATTTCATGTATTTAGCTGGCTCTCTACGGTTTACAAAATGTTTTCTCATATCACGTGGCAACTCTATAAAGTTAATGGGGCAGGTATTTGAGGCGCAATGAGAACCTAAAGGCAGATGGAGCATCAGTAACTTGTCTCAACCCACAGAACTAGTGATTAACAGGGCCAATGGGCTTTCCACTGTCTCACTGTCTCAACTTTAGAGTTGGTATTTCTAACATCACGTTATAAGCCAATAAAGTTTAGCAGTTTCAATTTTCAGGAGGTGTACTTCCTTTCAGCCCAGGGTGGGTGAAGGGAAGTCACAACAGATTTTTTTTTTTTTCTTAGCAAACTTCTTTACCTTTCCCTGACTGGAGCAGGGTGCATAGGGGTGCTGCTCAGGGCTTACTCCAACCAAATCCCCTTCACTTTGAAGAGCCTGTCTTGGTCAAATGTGTAAAAACTCAATTCAATGGCAGCCTGCTAAAGTTTGGGACTCTGTTAAATTAATATGCTACTGTGGATTCTTGTTGAAAGCTATATAATATGATTATATGTTAACCGAATTTAAAATATTTATGGATATTTGTAAAAAACTGCATTATGTTAATTAATACTATCACATATAAAGCTAATTTAAATATATTTGTATTGTGTATAACAAAAATTACTCTGGGAATAGGCTAAACCTGAGGCCAAGTTGTTTCTTAGTGTTTTTCTAAACAGCATGCCTTGTGCCTCTTGCATTTGTGTATCTTCTCAGGAAAATAAAGTTATATCACTTTTATTTATGAAAACTTGGTGGAGTTGATCTTTGTCAAGTTATAGGCAGTGGTGTGCACTGGAAGTTTGTGAGAGCTGATTGTTAAATTTTCGGAAGCTTTTCAATCTGGTTATTAAATACTTCCATCCTTGAAATTGGCCATGGTGGGGCTATTTATACCATGGGAATTGGCAAACACCATAAGTCAGGGTTTTGTTTTGTTTTCACCAGTACACCACTATTTGTAAAACTCTCCTTCTTAATGACTCCTCTTTGCTTCTGCCTCGTTCCTGGGGCAATCAAGGCAGACAAGGGAGAGAATGAAATTATATTCCCAGCCAAAGCCTCACAGGGTGGTGATTTCTCAGGGCAAGTAGAGGTCTCCTCAGCTGTAGCTGGAGAGATAGCTACCAACAGATGATCTTCAGATATCCCTGGGGTTGTAACGTAAGCCTTTGTTTTCAGTGCATATTCTAATTCTTTGCTTCTTCAAATAGTTACTTACATTTTAAACCTGTAATAAAATGTGTCTTGGTAAGTGGACTGTGGCTGACTTTTCTGTGGGTTATCAGATTAGAGTTAGCAATCTAGAGAACAGGAGGACACATCTGAGGATTCCTTGCATATATGTAACACTGCTTGGCAAGTGTTAAGCAGAAGTGAGAGCTGGATGCAATTAGCTTTTGCTTGTAACTCAATTTCTAATGGGTTAGTCAGACATCTCAACTCCACCCCACCCACCTCATCATCAAACCTGTCAGCAACCCTTCTCACAGTAATTGTTATTTACCTTCCATTTTGCCCCATCAAAGCTGACATAGAGTGTGCTATAATCCCTGCAGGTTAAGTCTCTGCTTCTAAAGATAGCAGTTAATTGAAAAGTGATGTGATCTTGTGCATTTGATGGAGAAGACTAACTCCTTAGAGGAAGTATATCTGTGCATCTTGAAGAAGAAATTCCTGCCTTTGTGTGTTCTATCTCAAAGAAGCAATTTCATTTGTGGGGGTGGGAGGACATTTATTATTAGAAGGAGAAGCAAAAACCTGATTAACTTATGGGTGAAGGGTCTGAGGATTTGCTTTAAGCAGAAGTTATAAATGATGCCCTGGTTGGTACACTTTTCTTGATTTGAAAGGATGTATTTCTATTTTGGGGTCACCTGTGACTCTGGCAGGGTCACTCCACTGGTCATGACTCTCCTGCGAGTCAGTCCCACATCTATCCACAGGAAATCTGTACACATGCCTTGGCCCTACAAACTCAGAAAGCATGAGATCACCTCAGTGTGGCCTCTCTCCTCCCAGTAGATTTCCTGGTGGCATCAGACTCTAGACTGCTGTTGGCTTTAGCTTTCTCAGGTGGGAGTTAGGCATTAGTTCTCTGTATCTCCCAATTGCAAGAAATAGGCTTCAAACAAAGCTCTTTTTGGATCTCCCGTGAAGTCCTCCTACCAAGTTTAAGGTAGAAAGTTTCATTGCTTTCCATCTCCCCTGCAAAGGGTGTGGGTGAGGACTCACAGCAGGGCCACAGCTCTCTCTTTATATGTGTCATCACATCTTCTCCTCCTCCACATTCCTTTTAGGTTCTTGGTCCAGCTGAAGTATCCTAAGAGCAGTGGGGAGGGAGGTTATCTTCATTCCTTTAGTAATTCTGCACATTGGTGGGGGGCAACTGTCTTACTCTCACTTTTATATCTGGGTACTATCATATTATGCCTGAGTTAAAACTGAGTCAAGAAAAGTCACTCTTCTAGGTCTAAAAGGGATCTGGAAGACCTCTAATAAAATGCAGAAATACAAAAAGCCCCGAACCATCATCACAGGAGCAATAAAATAAAAGTTTAATACAAAGACAGAGGGAGAGAAAAATTACTGTTCAGAAAAGTTAGACTTAAGAACCATTTACCCAGGATGCTTGAAATAAAAAAGGTGATTTCTATGCTCCATTCACAGCCTACTGAATAAACATTTTCAGGAAGGAGGACTAAGAATCAAGTTTTTAACCAGCTCTGACCTATAGTTATTCTTATGCACACTACAGTTAAAGAACCACTGTTTTAAGGTATGCCACTTGAATCTCAGCCGAATATTTCTCCAAGTTTTTAAAAAGAGTCAAAGCTGCTAAACAGATAAACAAAATAAAAAGCAAAACAATAACAATAACAACGAAAACCAAGTTGGTGCTGCCCATGAGGCTCACCATAACCCATCTCTCATCACAGAAGCAAACGGCCTTCTCTTCTCTACTGGAGTCTGGACAAAGGTCAGCCTCTTCACTTTTCATAACCCAATGGCAACTTTGTCACTTGAACCTTGGCCATCTAAGGCATATGAGCCTTGCCACAGTTAATACTACATTATCTACCTGTATGTTGCCAACCCTCAAATATTTGTCTTTAATCCAAGTTGCTCTCCTTTCCCCCAGACTTATCGATCCAACTGTCTACTCAATAACTTCACAATGGAGGTATAATGGACATCTCAAGTTCAACATGTCCAAAATGAACCTCTTCATGTTTCCCCAAACAAACTTTTCTGGAAGCTCTCACCTCCATTTTAATTGTATTGCATAGGCCTAAAACCTCTGGGTCATGGAGTCACTCTTGGCTCCTGCCATTCACCCATTTATTCTGTGAAGAAATCATATTGTCATTACCTTCAGAGAGAATCTGACCTCTTTTCTGCTATGACTTCTGTCTACGCCACCAGGATTATTTCAAGAACTTCCTAACTGGTTACTCTGCTTTTACCTTTGTAGTCAGACAAACTTGTTTTCAAATCTCAGTTTTGCCCCTTACTACTTTTTTGAACCTTGGAGAAAATACTTGCCTTCTCAGAGACTCAATCTATTGTTTGTCTTGTTTACTGTTGTTTATTCAATACCTGCTGTATAGTTGGAACTTAAATATTTTCTGAACCAAAGATTAAATTTAGAATAGGTTAAAATACCAGCTAATATATGTAAAGTTCCTGATATACAGATACACAGTAAACACCAAAAGGGTGGCTGCCATTGATTATACTTTTATTAAAGATGTGGACTTATTCCTAAGGTTTTGAGCTTTGTCATTTTTCAAGTTGAGATGTTTATTTAACATCTCTTTCGTTCTATCTCCTCCCCAAGAAAAGGTAAGGCCCAAGATAAAAATGTTTTACTTATTCAATGCTGTATCACTAGCAACTAAATTCATGCGTGGATCATTGAAATGACTCAACTCATATTGAAATAAATGAACAAAAAATATGGGACCCTGGTTCTTGGTTAGAATGACCAGCAAGACATAAGATCCATATGCTGCAAACAGCCTCTCAAAATGGTGTGCTCACATCCACTCATCTAGTTTTTTTTAAAACTAAGTACAGTAATGCATAGAACATTCTAGGTACATACATGAAAAGTGCTCAGTGAAAGTTGGCTGCTATCCCCTTTGTACCCATACCACCATCACCATCATGATGGTCATCATT